CACAGTGTGTCTGGTAAAGGAAAGTCATCACACACAGTGTGACAGGTATAAGAGAAAGTCATCACACACAGTGTGACAGGTATAAGGGAAAGTCATCACACACAGTGTGATAGGTATAAGGGAAGGTCATCACACACAGTGTGATAGGTATAAGGGAAAATCATCACACACAGTCTAACAGCTAAGAGAAAGTCATCACACAGTGTGACAGGTATAAGGGAAAGTCATCACACACAGTGTGACAGGTATAAGGGAAAGTCATCACACACAGTGTGACAGGTATAAGAAAAAATTCATCACACACAGTGTGACAGGTATAAAGGAAAGTCATCACACACTGTGACAGGTATAAGGGAAGGTCATCACACAGTGTGACAGGTATAAGGGAAGGTCATCACACAGTGTGACAGGTATAAGGGAAAGTCATCACACACTGTGACAGGTATAAGAGAAAGTCATCACACAGTGTGACAGGTATAAGGGAAGGTCATCACACAGTGTGACAGGTATAAGGGAAGGTCATCACACACTGTGACAGGTATAAGGGAAGGTCATCACACACTGTGACAGGTATAAGGGAAGGTCATCACACAGTGTGACAGGTATAAGGGAAAGTCATCACACACTGTGACAGGTATAAGGGAAGGTCATCACACAGTGTGACAGGTATAAGGGAAGGTCATCACACAGTGTGACAGGTATAAGGGAAAGTCATCACACACTGTGACAGGTATAAGAGAAGGTCATCACACAGTGTGACAGGTATAAGGGAAGGTCATCACACAGTATGACAGGTAAGGTAAAGTCATCACACAGTGTGACAGGTGAGGGAAAGTCATCACACACTGTGTGTCTGGTAAGGGAAATTTATCAAACACAGTGTGTCTGGTAAAGGAAAGTCATCACACACAGTGTGACAGGTATAAGGGAAAATCATCACACACAGTGTGAGAGGTATAAGGGAAAGTCATCCCACACAGTGTGACAGGTATAAGGGAAAATCATCACACACAGTGTGACAGGTATAAGAGAAAGTCATCACACACAGTGTGACAGGTATAAGAGAAAGTCATCACACATGTGACAGGTATAGGGGAAAGTCATCACACACTGTGTGACAGGTATAAGAGAAAGTCATCACACACAGTGTGACAGGTAAGGCAAAGTCATCACACACAGTATGACAGGTATAAGGGAAAGTCATCTCACACAGTCTGACAGCTAAGAGAAAGTCATCACACACACTGTGACAGGTATAAGGGAAAGTCATCACACACAGTGTGACAGGTATAAGAGAAAGTCATCGCACAGTGTGACAGGTATAAGGGAAAGTCATCACACACAGTGTGACAGGTATAAGGGAAAGTCATCACACATTGTGTGTCTGGTAAGGGAAAGTTATCACACACAGTGTAACAGGTATAAAGGAAAGTCATCACACACAGTGTGACAGGTATAAGGGAAAGTCATCACACACAGTGACAGGTATAAAGGAAAGTCATCACACACAGTGTGACAGGTATAAGGGAAAGTCATCACACACAGTGTGACAGGTATAAGAGAAAGTCATCACAAATTGTGTGTCTGGTAAGGGAAAGTTATCACACACAGTGTGACAGGTATAAAGGAAAGTCATCACACACAGTGTGACAGGTATAAGGGAAAGTCATCACACACAGTGTGACAGGTATAAGGGAAAGTCATCACACACAGTGTGACAGATATAAGAGAAAGTCATCACCAGTGTGACAGGTATAAGGGAAAGTCATCGCACACAGTGTGACAGGTATAAAGGAAAGTCATCACACACAGTGTGACAGGTATAAGGGAAAGTCATCACGTGTGACAGATATAAGAGAAAGTCATCACACAGTGTGACA